CAAACTCTCTTTATTCATTTTCACAACTCTAACCAATTACAAAGCAGTAAAAAAACTCTAGGGCGTAACCTTCAATCATAAAGCCAATCACACTAAGTACTGAATACGTCATATCTTTTGATTAATCGTTCACTACATTAATAACTATGAATATAAACTGTCAGAATCGCGACGGTTATCTGGTAATTAGTTCCAAATCACTGAGCCAAGTTCTGTCCAAAACTTCAAATAGGCCTGAACGATGACAGACATAACACAGCAATTCGCTAATAATCAGCTAATTAAGTCGGTCAACAGATACGCAAAAACAAATTCATGACATATTTACCAACAGCTCCAGCAAATCATCTGCCCATATTAACTATAGCCTCTTTTGTAATCCATCTAATACTTATATTTTGTGTTTCAATTACATAATGTTAGTCCAAAAATGTCAGCTTCTATTATTTGAACACAATCCTATTATCAAGGTCACGTTTGTATTGCGCTGGTCTTGCTAACTCTGGGTTCAACTTATTATCGTGTCGACGAGGGCGTCCTTAAATACAAAACAATATACATGAAGCCGTTTTTGTTTCTCAAAATTTACCGACCACGTTTTCTCAACAAGCACACGTGTGTATGTTAACCGTCATATTGAAAATAATAAGTAAAAATTATTTGATGAAAACATAAAATATATTGAAAATAAACTTCACATACTAAATTCTAGAAAAATACTACTATTCGTGGTTTCCCTTCACTAAATGAAGAGAACTACCGAGTATAACTCCCAATGATAGAATGTACCACTGTTCAATCAGAAGCCCAATCCCTCGACACCAAGCGATGATGACTAACAAAATGGAGACATTTACTCCATGATTTTCTTCGTGACCACTAATTGTAACAGTTCAGTAATAATGAAATGAACAATTCTGAATTATTAGTTAAACTAGTAATAACAATTAAATTAAAAAATAGTCACGGTAATAGACCAGGCCATAAAAACCAAAAACGGACTATTATATTATGGATCTCAGACAAGTTATATGAGTATGGCCCACTGTTACTTACCAACGTGTCTCTGCGCTCTAGAGATATTTCCAACTCACTTTAAAAAAAGTAATTATCATTAAACAGTGACCATTGGCAACAAAGTACAAGCTTTTCTAAAATGCGTCGTTTTGTATAGCTTTCCTCGACCCGCTAGAGGGGTATATTGAGATATTTGAGAATATAGACGTGTCATGTGACTTCAATTAACACATGTTTATTTTTTCTTGTCCCGCGTAAATATTCTGAGGTCGATTTTTGCATAAACATACGCGAAGGACACTAAATGCATCATGTAATGGGGCGGTGGTCATCGCACTACGCATGCGCGAGATATGGGTCTCATATGCACAAAAATGGCGACTTTGACTGTTGTGCAGACCAACGAGTCTAAACTGAGACGTTGCCAAACTTTAAATAGATAATTTCTTTGGTGATTGGAAGGTATCGAAGGAGTCACCGGCGATAATTAGCGCAAGTCGCGTCCAGGTCAAAACTCGTAATTAGAAGAGCGCAGTGGATTGTGGAAAAATCAATGTTTTATTAACATAAATGTCGCACATGCCCGGCACGACGACCACTTCCCTTTAAAAGAATACATTTCCTGTGATAGTAACTCAAACAATGCATTTTATACGTGATTTAAGAATACTCTTCTGAACCCGAGTGAGGTGAATTAGGTTGTTCGAAAATAATTTAATCATGAAAACTTTCTCATATTCACATTTCCCTCCATTTTTCCAGATTATGACACATTATTTTCGCTTCATCCACATCAATTCTCAATCCTATTCTCAGTTTTCAACATCAAGGCCTAATACAGTAAGTCTTATATGGAATATATCGTCATTTTTTACGAAGATATTATCCTCGAATTTTAACAAAAGTATGACTCACCATCAAAGTTTAATGTTTTGTTCAATATACTGTATCTTGAAATTGTGATGAAAATATCGTTCTCAAATGTTGGCAAAAATATAACTCTTTTTGTTGTTGTAAATTGTCATTAAACTACGGCGCATGAATATTCACGAGGCTGAAACTATCGAATAAATCGGATACACCTCGCCTCGTGAATATCTATCGAACCTATCCAAATTAATGATGTTTTAACAAAAAATAGAGACTGACGTCAAGTTTTGGATCGAAAAATCGTATATACCGGTACATGTAGTCAATGAAAAACCACACTACTAGTACATCGTCAACTTAATTCCATATAGTTTTAAGCTGATAGTTTTCAAAAAAAGACAAAACACTTGTTATAAATATGTTCACTAAAAATAACGAATTTAAGATATTATCAAGAAATTAACACATCTGACAAAGGGTAACTCAAGGTATCAAATCCCAAACATACCAAGTATCAAATCAATTGAGCTGTCAGTTTTCAAGAAGTCGAAAATACCAGTTTTGACCAAAATTGACCCAAAATATTCACTACAAACACAATATTGACACGAAATCAGAAAGAAGAACTCCAATTGAAGGTACCAGACACTAATTTCTCTCAGTTACACACTAGTTGTATTTGTGTTGAAAATCTGAGAACTGTTTCCACTGAATCAGCACCAAAACACGCAGTGTATTATCGTTTGTTAAATATTATTCGATGAAGAGTTTACCAGTAAGGGGGAATTTATACTTTAATCATATTCTTTCTTTAGTTATTTTGCATTTTATAATTTTGGAGGGAAATACAGAGTTTCAATGATCCAGGAAAACAAAGAAACCCGCACGCTGATTGGCTATAGTGACGATATATCGTTGGAAACGCCCACTTGCATTGTGTACTACGTCACAGGCTCTGTCTACGTGCAGCTGTGTGAACGTCATCCGAAGTCAGTTGCCCGGTAAAACCACGCTGCCTAGTTCTGCGTCGAACAAGTACCAGTTTGATCTAATTCAGGTTACTGCAGGTGAGTGATCATCACCGATGGTGAGTTGTATGTGTGTACAGATTTCTCATGAGTGTTTCTGTTTCGCTTTGTAATGTACTCGCCATTTTTACCACACCGGGTCCGTGTGACTCGATGGCGGTGGGGTCTCGATCGCTAGTATCGATTTGTGAAATTTCGGCTCTACAACAAAACCAGGAGGATGTAAGTGTCGTAACCATGTTCCCAGTAATCGTAATTAGCGGTAATTAGTTAACCAATTAACTGTCGCCGACCCGGCTCGATGTTACATTCACTGCTTTAATATTGACCGACATTTGACCTTCAGTTTTACGGTCATGTCACGATTCCTGTGCGTGTGAACATGAAACCGCAAACTGAATATTTGTCGTTACAAATAAAAGTACAATCGTATTAGTGAATATTTCGTCATTCTTGGGCCGAGAAACTAGCATTTTAGCTAGCCGGGATAACCC